TGGTTGGGATCAGGAGTGGCAGGGTGCTGCGGTGAAGGACTTGCTCTTGCTTCTCTGGACATAGATAACGTGGTTCTCTAAGTATATGCTGGGTGCTGAAAAGCACTCCAAGTTTGCAAGGCTCCCATCCCAAATTTGAAAAAGAGCAACTCTGATGTTCTGGTCTGGAGCAGTAGACTATTCATTTACAATAAATAAAGCAGATAAAGAAATGCTTACATACATTCCTTTTTTGCAATTAAATCCAAAGTGTAGGGTTTATATAAGGCCTCAGGTTATTAAAAATCCTTCCACATGTTCCATCCTGTCCTGAATTAATGTGTCTGTGGGAGCTTTGCTTCTGGGTCGCATCTGTAGACAGATCAAGAGAATTGTCCTAAATATCATTTAGTTTTTATTTCAGCTGCTTTAAAAAAAAGAAAAAAAAACACCAACAAAAAAATGCAAACCTCAACCAAATCAGCACAAAATCCTAGCTTTATCCTCTTGACTTTGTGAATTAACTCTGAATTCAGCTCAACAAATATTAATCATGTATCCTAAATAATGCCTATTACTATCTGGCTTTTCAATTAAAACTTTATAAGCTTTTAATGAAAAAGTAGTGAAATAGCCCATTGACACTCAGTACCTTAGCTTTCCCCCAGGTTTCTCAACCTTGGGCGATCTGTCTCTTCAAGCTTGGAGAGTTGTGTCCCTGAGGCACTGGCATGGAAGTTAAGTTGTCTGTAAAGACAGAAAGGAGTCAGTCAGGCTTTAAAAGGCTTTGATTTATGGGGAGCCAGCGACTGATAACTCTTTTGAGGTCAGTGCAGTCTGCGTAAGAAGGGGAACAATAAATAAATCAATATATAAAATGCTTGAGCCTCCTAGACCCTCCCTTCTGCTGAAGGCAGGATGGGCATGCAGCATTGCTACAGGTATTAATGAAGTATTTGAAATGTTGAGGATTGCTCGTGTTCCCTGTATTACCATACCTTCATTTCCTTACCCTCTCCAAAGCAGTTTATCCTGCACATTACCCTCAGCATATCCCAGACCTTACCTGTATTTTGTGAGAAGAGAATCTCCAGTGAAAGTGTTCCAGCAAAGCACATGGCCTTTAAAAAATGCCCTGATATGTGAGAATAACTACAATAACTAATGCCTGCTCCTGGTGTGTCAATGTTGCCTCCCCATCTGTTTGTTAACCTACTGAGGATCTAGCATTACATCACATCATACTGAGGTAAGAGATTTTGCTGGGCCTGGGGAGCTACTGGTCCACGTAGTAGCTGTGATGGTACTTTGTCTGTGTTACTTGTTCAATTTCATGAGAGTCAAATCACCTGTGGGTTCCTCCCAAAGAACAACTTCGATTTTCCTTAGGAGAGGGAAAAGTTAAGAGAGCGGTGGATCAGGAGCAGAGCAGAAGCGGGGGCTGGAGGAATATGTACTGAGCAGTGTCAGGAGCAGTCAGCAGACTCCACAGTCTCTCTACCCGATTGTCCCCATTGACTGTAGGTGGCTCCCCCCTCCCTACTGTGGCCTGCTGAGTCACTGCTCAAAGATCCTTGGCTTTCACCACTCTGCAGTACGCCACTTCAGGGCAATTGAGCCTGTCAGCATATGGCCCTAGTTGGTGCTTTTTTTTAGTTTATTACTGAAAAGACATTTGCTACAATCACCAGAGCGCACAAGCCTGTAGAAGCGTAGTGTGGTTTTGGAATATTTTTTTATATGCTTCATGTTGAACCAGTTGCAGGAGCACGGGTGCGCTTCCAGTGCTAAGAGAAGAGCTGTTGTCAATTGTTCATATCCCTGTTCTTTTTGCCAGCGTCGGATCACAGATGTAGTCTGGTTTGTTGTGATGTGCTGCAGGTGGGAAAGAAATGGATTCTGATTTGTGGAAAGCTAGAGCTGAGCAGAGAGGAATGTAGTATAGAGCTTCATGAGATTGCAGGTTTTACCTCTAGTTACTTTGTTGTTTAATTGTCCTCGTTCTGAGTCTGTATCGCCTGTGGGGAAAAACATTGCTGTGATTGTAGGTGTCTGTTAGTAACTTACATTACAGTGAGAATATTTCCTACTTAATCAACATCCAGAGAAAACCCTGATGATCACAGGAGCCAAATGTACAATCTCAGGTGTGTGGGCAGTGGGCTGCCTCTCCGCCCTCAGCACAGGGTGGTGGAAGCTAACCACAGGAACCCGCTCCCCGCGCTGCTGCTCTCGAGTGCCTGCTGGAACAGGACAGGCTGGCGCTGCGTGTGGAGCCCTGTCCTCACAGGCTGTGCAGCAGCCCTGGCCCACACGGCTCACTAGTTGTTCTTTCTGGATTCAGTAACCTCTGCCGTTACTTAAGCTTCTCAGCTCTTCTTTTCCATTGCCCTTACTTTGTGACGCTGGTTGCTTCCTCCTAGGTTGTAGAACTCCATTTTGTTTTAACGGCTTGAGCTGCATTTGAAAAAAAAAATTTGTTCTTCGAGTGAAACACAACTTTCAAGAGGGTACTGGAGTCGTGAATTCTCAGTCACTGCCCACAGAGCAGAACTTGCTTTGGATTTGTTGGTGTGTGTGTGGTTTCTGAACATTTTCATGAACATAATGCCTTTTTAATTTTTATTTCCTTCTGCATCAAGACTTCATGGAGATCCTTAGGTGCTCAGTGAATGTCTGGATCGCTTCTAACATTCCCCTGAGGAATTCTGTGTGCTGTTTCACTTTAGAATTTCTGAACGTGTTACTGAGCCAGATGATGCTTCCCATAGCCAAGCAATTTAAAGGCATTTATGAAGAAAAGTTCCTTTTGAAGTGTTGTGTGAGATTCCTTTACTCATGCGCAAGTATCTTCCAAAACTCCATGGGCTTAGGAGATGATATTTAGATCCCACCCTTGCCAAAATACATCACAAAATCTTGACGTTCCAAGTGCTGTCCTGTACCACAGCCTCCACTGTTGTACAAAAGTCTCCAAGAATGAGGCCGTCGAGTTTTGCAAAATGGCAAGGTGTTTTGGGGGAGCGGATAGGGAAACCTCACTCCTGTACTCAACTCAGGCTCCACTGACCCCTTTTCACAAAGTTTATTGATACGGTAATAGTTTGCACCATGAAAGACTGAAGCGTTGCTTCCTGTAAGCTGCACAGATCTCTGAAGTGCCGGCTCAGCTCTTTGGCCAGGGATCCGCTCCTGCTTCAGTTGCTGTCACTGGCAGCGACCAGCAGCGTTCATGCTGTCTCTCCTGTGCCTGCCAGCTTGCTTTGCGGGTTTTTGTGTGTGTGTGGAGATCCTTCCCCCTTCTAGGGACGTGAGGAGTTTGCAGTGTGTCTGGTGTCTCTCTGGAGAGTTGGGGCCTCTTGTGTTTCCCTGAGAGAAAGGCACGTTGCTGCTGGCCCGGGCGCTGTGAGCTCTGCCAGTCTGCCTACTCAGACTTGGAAACCAGGGACTTGTAGGCCCTGAACTCCTTGCATACCAGGAACTAAGTGATACCTGGGAGTTACCAAAAGCTGAAATGCATTTTCCCTCTGCTCTCTAAGCCAGGCACTGGTATCGATTCGGCTCTTTCTCCTCCTGGCCCTGCTCCAGCCCTGGTTACACTCGGGTGTCTCAGTGGGCCAGGCTGGGCACTGATCAGGGTTAAAAACAACTCAGAAAAATAAAGACTGAATTTGGTTTTAACTTGGATCGGTTCCTGACACAGACCACCACATGAATCCATAAAAAGTTGTGGAACAATCGAGGGGGTATCTTGGAATGGGAAACCATCGGTAGGAGACTGGAACAGAATGAAACCCCAAATTCACAGGTCTTGGGAGGGGCTTAAAAAGACAGGGACAACTGCTTGGAGTGCTTTAGGAGAACTGTTGTGTGCAGAAGGGGGCAGGGAGAAAGAGAATGAATGGATTTTTAATTATTTCAATTTTTTTGTGTTACGATGGGACTGAACAGGAAAGCTTGATGATTGAATGAGGAATTTACAGGGCAAGACCTCCCAGCACTGCAGTACTTGACAAAACGTTCGCATCGTTTTTGTTAGGAGCAAGGGAGCAATTGAATCGTTAATGGTTTCAGAGACTTCTATTATATGGCATAGCAAACTTTCGGGTTCCTCTCTGCCTCTATCTCTTGTTTTTAATTTCTTGGTATCACACCCATCTGAGGTTCTTCGTCTGCACTTAATTTTTTTCCTCTTGTAAATCTCTTCTGTGTTACATACTCAGCAGTCCATGCACGACTAGGATCAACAGTGCTGTTCTTTCTGTAAGGAAGGAATCAGTCAGTATTTTACACTTGCAGTTTCACAAACTGGAGCTCACTGTCACAGTTTTAGGACATCTATAGATTTTTCCTAGCTAAATAAAAAACAAGCAAACCCTGTCAGCATCTTTGGATGTCTGTGCTCGGTTGTTCATTTCAACTTGACTTGAAGTTATGATGCCAGTCTTGGAAAGTGAACTCGTTTAAGGTTGTTAGTAAAGTAAATGTTAGTAAATGACTAGAATTCCTGTAGACTACAGATCGTTGGTACAAAGTAGAAATACAGGCTTCAGAGAGCACTGAAAATGTAATAAAATCAATGAAGAGAAGCACTGCTAGATGAAAATGGACAAGCAACACAGAGCACTTCCACAAAATGGAAAGGGGAGTGGTATTCAACTGGGCTCATGTGTTTGGTTTCTTTTTCTTTCTTTGGTTTCAGACTCTGGTTCCTTGTTCTCTGGTTAACAACACCTGCACGGTATGTTTTGGTGATGTACTTGACGATGCAGTCGCGTCAGGGAAAGGAGGAGCTCCCGGCAAAGCTCTTATAAGTGGTTCCATTCTTTGGAAGTGCCAGCTGGACCAGCTGGGTTTTGTAATCCCTTCCAAAATGTAGGTCAAGCAGCTGCTGCTCCTGCAGAGGCCCTCTCCTCCTTCCACCAGCCCCGCTAGGTTTCCAGGTGTCCTGTTCCCTCCCGTACAGAGGGGGTAATGCTGGAGCCGTCGCTCACGTGTTGTCTCCTCCTTTTCCTTCACAGGGGACGGTCTTTACTTTGGAATCTGAAGAGGAAGAGTACCCCGGGCTCATCGCAGAGGACAGTAATGACATCTACATCCTGACCAGTGACAACTCGGGACAGGTGAGCCCCCCGGAGTCCCCCACGGTGACCACGTCGTGGCAGTCGGAGAGCCTGCCCGTCTCCCTGTCAGCGAGTCAGAGCTGGCACACAGAGAGCCTGCCAGTCTCCCTGGGACCCGAGTCCTGGCAGCAAGTGGCCATGGATCCTGAAGAAGTCAAAAGCCTGGACAGCAACGGAGGGGGTGAAGAGAGGAGTGAGAACAACTCTTCCAACTCAGATATTGTTCACGTGGAGAAGGAAGAGATCCAGGAGGGGATTGAGGAAGCAGTGGTGTCAGCCGTTGCTGCAGAGACCATACAGGCAGCGTTTCCACAAACCCCTGCTTCTTTACAGGAAGCAAAACCTCAAGCTGAAATTGCTGCTGTTGAAAAAGCACATTCCTCCGTGCTTCTGCGTACAAAACAGGAAGAAAAGGGAAAAGTGGCTGAAGAGCTTGTTGAACCTGAAATCCCCGTATTAAGTAAACCTGTCCCAAAGTTAGCCCCATCAGAAGAAAAGGCTGCACCAGAACCTGAGAAAATACTGCTTCCAGGGGAAAAAAAAGTGGGGAAAGAGGGCCGCTTGGAAGAAATAGAAGAGAAATCCTCCGCTGCAGAGGAGAAGCCTATCTTATTGCCTGAAGGGAAATCTATATTGCTGTACGGTGGGGCTGCTGCGGTAGCTATATTAGCTGTAGCAGTCGGAGTAGCGCTGGCGCTTAGAAAAAAGTAACAGAGCTCTCTTGAGGAGGTGGGGGGAGAGAGAAGAGAGCACGATCCAATTTTTTTAGTTGTGTTACCTAAAGGTTGAGCTGCCTGCTGTTTAATTGGACGTTTGAGTAACTTAATGGTGATGGGGTGAGGTCGTTCAGTAAGCCTCCAGCTATGGACAATCATGTTTTTAGTAGAATTGGGGTGGGGACTGGTTTTTCGTGATTAAAGTACAGGGGTATTTTTAAAAAAAATTACAATAAATTCTGCAAATTTAAGAACTTAAGTGCAGGTGCTGAAGAAAGGGGTGCTTGTACTCTAGGAACTGGAACAGAGAATCCCCAGGGGAAGGGGAGAGCCAGCTGCTGCCAGCCCCTGGAGTTTTTGGCTTCTCCGACTGACCGCTATTGCAGCTGTGCTGTCTTTGTCACTTCCCATCGTGCGCCCCCCGCCGCCCCCTGAGCTCCCCCTAACGAACATTAGCCAACCCATGTCCCGTAGCGAGAGGCTGGTCTCCCTTTTGTCTCGGCTTCCTCTCAGGTACAGCACTGCTCCTCGTAACCTCGCAGGTTCCTCCTAAGCCCCAGTGGGAGAGTGCTTATTCTTACCTCTTTGCTCACACCGGTTTTGGCCCCTGACATTTACCAGGGCCCCATCCTGTAAAGATGCTGCCTCTCTATAGCTGTATTATCTCTGATTCCTGGGGGAGAGGTGCAGCTTCCGCAGCCCAGGAGGGTGGGAGGGACATGCTATTTGCTGGTTTTGAGAATCCATTTGCTCTGTTCCTGCCCAGCCCACTTTACTGCCGCCCTCCAGTTACCAGAGATGCAAAATCCATGCTGGACACAGTGCCATTCTGATCAGTACTCTGATACCAGGGTATATTCAGCAAAGATACGGCAAAACTACATGGACACGAGGCTGATGCCTCCTGTGTGATTCCAAGGTTAAACGCTACGCTGTCCTATATCACGCTGCAGTTTGTATCGTCTCTCCCAGAGTATATTTAGTCCTAACTTGGTCTTGGCTGTGACAGAATCCCAGATACATAAGGCAATGGATTCTAGTAACTGAGCAAAACAGCATTAAACATCTCTATCTGCCTGTTCCTGACCCAACCCGGCGTGTTGTTCAGTGCGATTTCTTTTGCGACTCTGAATCTGTAATTAGCTAAACTTACAGATTCGCAAATGATGAGCAAGTTACTGTGGGGACACACACACACACACACCCCCCACCCCCACCCCACCCCCCCGCCAAATCCCTCTTCCTGCAATCACACCACTTCAAAAGTGTGTGAAGAGAACCCTTTTAAGTATTACTATAGGCATTAGTTATGGCGGATCCTGGTGCGAGTGTTCCTCTGCCAGTGCGCTTTGCTGTGTCTGTCGTCCGTGCGGCAGGTCTGTGGGACGACCCTAGGCTTTCCAGGCAGAACTACTGGGGCTTCTGTGAGGGTTTGTGCTGGCACTGTGGCTTAGGCCAGGTGGAGGTAGGTGAGAGGGGATGATGGAGAAATTGAGACGTGAGCTCACGGGAAGCTTACTCTTCATAAAGCACAAAGACAAGGTACTTTATTTCTAAATAACCTGATCTAGAGTACGTTTCCTAATGAGCCTGTTCTTAAGCGAGATGAGAGCGAAGAGATTTTTAGCACATTCTCTATTTTAGCGTATTCTTGCTACATTTTCCTATCCCACCCATAGCCCAGGATGCTGGGAAGTCAGTAAGAACCTGGCAGATTCTGAGGAATTGTTTTTGTTTAAGCTTTTTTTGAGAGTGGATTTTTTTTTTTTTTTAAGAAACCACCTTGGCTTTTGAACTCTGTGTGTGTGAAGTTGACTACTGAGAGGAAGGATTGTTACATATGTGCTGCTGCTGTGGACTGAACTCAGGTGCTCTGGCATGCTGGACTTTTTACTTTTGATCATTGATTGCTCTTTTTCCGTGTACAAAAGCTAGCAAGTTGGCCTTAACAGAAAACAAACAAATACCCTCCCCCATCCACCCCAAAAAACCCCAACAAACCACACCACAGCACATCTTTGCCATGTTGCAAAAGGGATTTTTTTTTTTTTTTTTGGTTGGTGTTTGTTTTTTCCATTTCCTGGTGCCCTGCCAGTACTCATTGCTGTGCTGTGTCCCTGGGATGGGTCACTGGGACCTCCTGCCACTATGACCTCTCCATTGTCTGCCTGCCCACCACCGGTCCCCTTGTCTGGAGGAGAGGTGTCGTGATGCTTCTTTTGTTGCTGACGTGCACAAATGTTTACAGGTTTTGCTTCTTTTATTTCACATGTTGCAACAGTGTTTATTGACAAGTGACACAATCTGTGCAGGCACCTGTGTGGCAAGGGCTGCATTACTGCCTGGTAAGCAGGGCTGGTTTGCCCTTCTCCTGCTGCTTTGCTGATGGGTTCCGGTTCTTCTTTGGGCACGTTCGCTGCAGGAGAAGGGCTGGTTGTTCTTAACCCAGCCTCCAGCCTCTCCTTACTTGAAGATGTTGCACCTGTGTTTGGGACATCTCCCACCTGTAGCCACACAGCAGGTTACACAGAAGTACCCACATGCACACTGAAGCAGAGGTGGATTTTTTTTTTGACACTCTGTGTAACTTGTGTACAAATCATGGGGAGGGCGAGAGGGGAGATGTGTCAGTTGCCCTTTCAGCTCTTCACCGTACATGGTGGTTTCGGTAGTAGTGTGGGAGATGGGTATGGGACAGATGAGAATAAATCCTTGTTGGCAGAAGGAGCCCAGTGGGGCATTAAATAAAAATGTCTCGTTTCACATGCAGCAGTGAGAAGAAGGTGGCAGCAGTAGTAAGGGAAACAAATTACTTTGTTTTGTTGAGCATTTCTGTGGTGGGGCAAAACCCTGGAGTATCCGGTGTGTTGCTACACTTAATGGAGCATCAGCTGCACTGTGTGGTTTGGTTGCTTGTCTCTTCTTGATAGAATCATTTTAGGGTCTTACAGATTTGACAAGTCAGCAAGAATTTGTACCCTCTTCTTCGCACCACTGACCACGCATTTAGAAAATGTATTGTACGTGTGTCTCTGCTCCAGAAACACTCCGTTACCTAAACAGGTCAGTTAAGGACTTGAATTCTGCTGAATTGAGAGTCCTGTGGTCAGAGCTGGGACAGGCCCTGTGAAGTCACCAAAAGGCAGGTAAGCTCAGATGACAGCCTTCTTACAGACTTGAGTGCCAGGCTGCTTGCTCTATTATAGGTGTGAATTAGAAAATGGAAGGGTTCCACCCCCCACCCCCCCCAAGTAATCCTAAACTGGAGGGTCTAATTACCCCAAACAGTGTGAGGCAACCTCTCTTTAGTGGATCTCTTGCAGCTGGCAGAGAAGGGTCAGTAGCTATATGCTTAGGAAAGGGCATACAGACTTACTCTCACTTGTGTTGCTTATCCCCTTCCCAAAAGTGCCTCAATATCTGTCTTCGAGTGGCCTGTACCTTAACAAAATATCTACCTTAAACCCAGTCTTTCCTCACTTTATCCTTGTCTGCAGCACACCCTGAAAGCTGAGATGCTAAAACAGCAGAGGACTGGATCTACAATAAAGCATTAAATACTTAAGGGCCTGCAGTGGACAGCACGCTGAATAAGAAGCTGTCAAGGAAAAGGCTTTCACAATGAGGTACAACTTACCAGCTTAACTCTAACCTGTGCTCACTTGGGCATTGTGGCCGGGGCCTGGGCAAGGGCTTGCTCCAGCAAGCATCCCTGGAACGACAGGCTGAGAGCAAGGACTGAAACCCAGAACCCTGCTGTTGCATTAAAAGCCCAAACCCCAGACAGACCTACGTTGGCCCATTGTCAGCCACACACGGTGCAAGAACCTGGGGCCTCCTGCCTCCCCAGGGCCTTCACCTCCAGAAGGTCCAGGCTGGAGCTGGCACAGCAGTGCCGAGCTGCTCAGCTAGGGCAAAGTCAGAATATAGCTGGGCAGAGAGAGGTGGCTTGAAAACCAGCTTCTGGTTCTCATCAGGCTAGATGGATGCTAAGTAGGGGTTCTCAGGGTGGTAATTTGGCTGCTGAAAAACAGTGAAAATAACTTGGATCTAAAATACAAGATCTGGCCCAATGAAACAAGCCAGAGTACAAGGAAGCAACAGTGCTGCAGCCTTCTGTCTCTTCAGAGGTGAATCAGTCAAGCAGCTGCCTGCTCCAGGTACTTACCTGTCAGTGCAGGAGCTCGCAGCACAGAGCCACAGGCTGCTGCAGCAGCAGCACATTCTCTGCTTAGTGTTGTACTAGTCTTGGACACCAGTTTAACTTCTGGCAGTAAGTGAAGTGCCTGATGATGTGTTTGCAGTTGGTTGTTTCTTTCCTAACCTGCCTTCTAGAGAGCAAATCACTACTACAAGAATCCATCCTTGCTGCTTGTGAGGGTTTGATTTTTCCATCCCGGCTGGGGGCTGTGCTCAGGCATCTGTAGCTCAAGGGACAGTTGAAAGCCGTAGCACTGAGTGCGCTTGCGTAGGGCAAGTTCTGATGTCAGAACCCTGTTTCCTTCCTCTTTGGGTAGCTCTGACCACAGCTAGGCTAACACTTTGGGCTGCATTTTTAAACTAATCAATGCTTTCTAATAGTCACAAATGACAACTTTCATTAGTACTAAACAAGCAAGGTTCTGAAGGTTGGTCTTTTTTCATTTTAATGATTGTGGTAGCAACATAATCTGCGGTCATAAGCCTTCCCTACATTTAATTTCACCTACAGTGGTATGGCAGTACTAGCAAAACCATAGTAAGGTAGCTGTTGTTATTCTGGTTTAAAAAAAAAAAAAGTGCTTCTGGCAGCATAGTCTCTCATTCACTGAACCAGAGCAAGCTCATGCTACAGAATTTGAGAGTGTAATTACTAGATTCTTTTGCTGTGAAATGTGGGGGGGGTGGAAGAGTGAACACAGCCCCAGCTGCCATGCCTAGGTAGAGCCCAGGTCTTCAGTAGAAGGTCTCATTCCAAGCATAAAACATGCTGAATGTCAACTCATCTGTGTGTGTCCACTCCAGTGGGTTACACAACAGGAGAGCGTTTCCCAGTGAAACATGGAGAGGTGAGGCACGTTATGTCCTGTACGTATTGAAGGCAGCTGTGCATGACCAATTTGGCTTGGCCTGCTTAATTTCAGCACAAGGAAGGTTACAAGAACAGTATTGCTTTGACTCCATTTATGCATCTGTGCTTCAAAGTGCAAGTGCTGTATTGCCATTAAAAAAAAGGGGGGGGGTGTTTTGTAAGATTTAAGCCAGGACTAGCTGATTGTGGTAGAGCTAGCTCTCAGGCCCATACAGAGCAGGGAGGGCAGGGCTAGCTCTAGGCAACAGTACTCAGTTGTGTGTGCTGAAGTGAACTCTCCTGGGTAGTGTACTTGGCTGGGGAATGAGAACTGCACCAGCTCGAAAGGGATCAGCTGTAGTGTTACCAATACATCCAACATTGCTCAGATCCACCTCCTTAAGTTAAATAACTTTATCACTTTTTTTTCCCCCTACTTAGAGGTGACCCTCTCTCGGTCTCATAGGTAGGCTGACTTGCTTCCTCCTAGCTAGAGGTCTATGGTTATGCTGTAGAAATGGGGGAGCTACAGTTAGCTTCCAGTGGAAGCTGCTTTTGATCTCCCTGCAGTATCTGCAGGGGAGGGAAGGAACACTATTGATTTGGACAGAACAAGCTGCAGAGGATACATCTTACTGCTGTACCTTTAGGGGGTCTCTCCCCATTTTTAACTCACATTATAAGCTTTTATTCAAGTGTAAAGCTAAAACCCACTCAGACCAAAAGAACACCACTTGATGTGTTAAGTAGCAAAGACTAATGGGACTGACTCTGAAGTATGCACATTAGGGCTATCTTCTACTAGGCTTCCACGGGGTGTAAGCAGGTAGTGATGCACTCACAGGGATTTCTGATTCTGTTCCCAAGAGGCCTGCCTGGGGGAAGAGACCCTGACTGTTCCTCAAGTCACCCATTATCCAAGGAACTGATCATATTGTTCCTTTTAATATGCAAGTGCAGCCTTCCTGGGGAAAACTGTCTAAAGCTTCTTGTGCCATTTGGTTAATAAAAGTGTTTCCACCTTTAAAAGAAAGTTCTTTCCAGCTTCATTGGTCTACATTCAGTTGAAGTGAAGGGGTATGTACCATTTTTCCCTCTTGCTAATGGGACACTGCTGTAAGACCATGCCCCCAGGTTGCACTTTAATAAATGGTACAGTTTTCAAAAACCATGTGTACAGCATTTCTGTGCTTCTTTCCCCCCCTCCCTGTTCTAGTGCAGGCACCAAAAAAAAAGAGGTGGTTTTACTTACGCAAGATTTGGTTATGTGAGGCACATCTCTAGTGCTGCCAGCTGCATCATAAGCCGTAGTAAATCAGAGGAAAGCCAGGAGTACTTGCACAAAAAAACTGACAACACCAAAAAAATCCAGGTGGAAATTGAAATTCTTAAGAGCTGTATTGCCATGAGAACTGACAATTTTATTTAACTTAAAAAACCCCACAAAATATTTACATCCTTTCAAAACTTCTGAGGCAGCTGGATCACAAGTGAATTACCTGCAATTACAGGTATGTTTTAAACAACCTGAGTCCAAGTTTGTTTAACCTGAGATGTGAATGCACTACAAATCATAAGAGATGCCAGATATTCTTCCTGATGCAAGGCTGATACCTTCTTTCTCGTTATAGCAAGGTATTCTAAAGCTAAACACTTTTCCTCAAGCATATCCAGGTTGTAGTATTCCCTGAAAGAATTTTCCTTGTACCTGTCCCCTGCCCTTTTCTTTACAATTTGTCATTCAGTTTTATTTTTCAAGCAAGCAGGGGTTTATGGAAATTGATACTTCAGCTTTCCCTGGCTCCCTGAACATCCCTACCTCCTTTAGGGTTGTTTCCTCTTGCTGCCAGCTCCCCTCTAAGATAGACCTGATTATTATTTTTTCCCCCTTGGTGATCTGTGCTGATCAACCATCCATTCTACAGCTTGAGGCCTTCCGGAGAACAATTAACACTCTGCATGGCTCAGCTACAGCACCAGAAGCAGGGCTGGGAAGAGCATAACTAAAGCAAAATGCTACAGCTCATCAGAAAAATTACTGAGAAGGTAGGCTTCACGCCCACAGCATTTCCTCTGGAGGTACAGGCTGGGGTCTGCACAGAGTCTGTTACTGCTAAGAACATAAAAAGAAAAAAACTATTGTAAAATGAGAGAGGGCAAGCACTACTCCTTACAAGTACTGGCAGAGCTGGCACACAGCTCACTACCGTTATTGCTGTGCTAGTCTACAAAAGCCTATCTATGTAGCTCTGCCTTCCCTTTCACAGCTGTATCTCAGAAGTTAAGAACAGAAAAATTGATTTGCATATATGAAAGTAAAAAGTCTTCGAGAGTCCACATTCTCCACACTGAGGGCTGGAGAGCTCACTCACGCAGCTAGAGGGAGAGAAACAGAACCAGCATTAACCACAGCCAGGCCCTGCACCTGCCTGCCCACCCTCCCACCTGAGGAGCCTGGCAGCAGCCTCTGCAAGTCCCCAGTGCCACAAACCCTGTGGCAACGCTGCCACCTGCTGTACTGCACGGCTGCCATCACCCCTCAGTGCCCCCCCCCCAGTTCTGTGCTAACAGCAAGGAAGGAGCCAGCACCAACAGTCCTGGGGAAAAGCACGGCACGGCCCCTGGTGCCCAGCTCTGGCCCCCTCTGAATACCACTACACTGGGGTGGGTGAGCAACCAGCAGCCCTTTGCCTGCCCTCCCTGCGCTGTGCTAGTAGCCTGCTGTGGCAGCACTTCATGGAGTAGTAAGGCAGCACGGGGGCCAGTCTCGCACCCTAGTGACAGGTTTCTGTGATAGCAGCACCCCTGAGCTAAGCTCAGTGAAGGGGAGGGCAATGCTGAGAGACACTTCAGTGTGCCTTGCTGCCTGGGAGAGAACGGGGGTGCTGTGCCAGGCAGCTGCCCAGTCTCATGGCACAGGGAGAGCTGGGCCCCTCTGCAGGTCACTGCCAGCGCTGTCTATGGCAAGGCTGCAGTGCAGGGGCGCCCCACAGACCTGCAGCACCCACAACCAGGTTGCCACTGTTCCATGGGGTGGCAGGACCACAGACCTGACCACTCTCAAATCTCATTCCTAAGAAGTACCTACTCTTAGTATACACGTGTGTGCACACAGAGGGGATTTCTTCCTCTCCCTCCCGACAGGTTAGCTACTGAAGCTGGGGCCAAATGCCCTGTAGCCTCTACCCTGGCTTGACTGCTAGCCCCACCTATCCCACAGCTCCAAGCGGAGAGAACAAGGATGTTTCTTGTTTCTCTGGCAATTCCTTTCCCCTTCCAGTTCTGCCAAGCTCTGGGGAGCCCAGGAAGGCAACAGCGAGACCTCAGGCCCAAGACATTTGGGAAATACAGCCATCAGAGCTCAGGTCAGGCTTTCCTTCCTCAAGGGCAGGATTAACCTGAGTCTTAGTGACACAGCTCCCTGAAGAAGAGGAGCAATCATGTCTCTGCCCTACAGTTCACTGGCTGTTGTGAGAGTGGGGCAAGCAGCTGTGACATGTACCCCTCAAACCTCCCTCCCTCAGCACATGAACCTTCAGAGCTCTGCAGTGACTGGCACTCCCTTCTGGCCAAACCTCCACAGTACTACAGGGAAACCAGCAGGCAGCTCAGAGCTAGGCCACCCCTCTGGGAATAACGTAGGCCAGCTAAGAGGCTGGCTGTGCCTCACACCACCAACAGTACTCACCATTCTGACAATGTAGTTGTGGAGCTGCTGGCTGATGTAGTTCACGGTAGTGCTGAAGACACGCTGTAGAAGGGAGGGCATTGTATTCGCAATTTTTTTAGTTAAGACCATTGCCAGCACCAACATAGCCTTCTCCTGCTCCATGTCTGAGGGGATGGCTCGTGCAAGCCCTTCCACTGCCTCTGACATGCGCCGGGTTATCTCCTGTATGGAGGGAAGAGAGGGATCTCAGTGCAATAGCTGTGGAAGAAAGGGGTCCCAGCACAGCCTGCTGGCACTCTGCTGGTAACTGATGTGCTTGTTCTAACACCTCACAGGATGCTGCTCCCCTTCCTCCCGGGCACGGCAGCCTGCCTGTTACACACCCTGGATGGCAATAAGGATGACTATCTCTGAGGTCAGCTGCTCACCCAAGACAAAAAGAAAGGGAGACAACACATGCACAACTGGAAAATGCAGATAGCACCTTACACGCTAAGGGTGCAACAGCCCCCTCCTCCCCGAGGGTTTGCACCTAGCCTGCCAAGTCCTGAAATGGCAGAGGAATGCTGGGGCTCCCAGGAAAAGGCAACCCACCTCAAACATAGAAAAGATCAGAGGTACAAGCTTAGGTGGGGACTGGAAAGGCAGTAAAGTGAGTTTCACAGAAAAACCTTCACATAGGCAGGAGCTAGGGAAGGTGACCAAGCATGAAACAAAAAATGCCTTGCTCCCAAGATCAGTTTCCCCAAGAGGGATGATGTGCATATGCATACGCTAAGTTACACTAATACTGTGAAAAAGCAAGGTCCACCTAGTCAGAAGTTAGGCTTTTGTCTCAGCCTTATTGAAGGCTGAAAGGTTAGGCAATAAATTGGAAGGCCTGATACTTAACTGGGTCGAGAACAGGACAGCAGGAGTGGGGAATTTGCTGGAATCAGTCTATGCAGGTGATAAACTCTAGTAGAAAAAACCCACACCACTAAAAATCAAAAAAGATTGCTTGAAGTCATTAAATCCTGCCTTTTTAGCAAGAAGGTGGACCCTCAATTCAAAGACAGCATTAGCTTGTAGAGCATAGGAAACTTCACCACAGGCAGAGAAAGCCAAACAAGCCAGAAAGCCACAGTTATCTTGATGTCAGAAAGGCTCTGTGGAAGCAAAACTGTGGCTCTTGATCCAGATTTGGATCCAATCCTTAGAAAGTAAAAAGAGGTATGACTAACACAAGGGACCTCAAGCTCTGCCTCCCTTGCAGAGCAGCAAGGCACATTAGATGCTGGGCCAGGGTCTACATCACACCTATTGGTGGGAGAACAACTGCATCAAAGAGGTGGAGATGCCACCTAGAGAGGCCTTCTCAGCAGGTCACCCATCCAGGCCAAAACCCACTGCCACTCCCAACACAGACAGCCTACGAGCTAAACAGTTACGGCACTAGAAAAGGGTGTCATCCCATGCTGTCTCTTCAGCATTCAGTAACAAGCACAAGTCAAGCCTCTGGCACTAACACTGCTCAAGTTTTACCCACATGACGAGCAGCAGACATACAGGACTCAGCACCAAAGTCCAAAGATCTTAAGGACAAATACTAAGCCTTAACCAGACAGTTGATTTTCAAAGCTAAGCCATTGGGCTAACAAAACGAGGACAAAATGCCTCTGAAAGTCAGTCCTTCTGCACCACTACCTCAACTTCACCATCAGCAGAAAGGAGATGAGCCCAAGGAACCCAATTTGCAGGGCAACAGCTGCCACAGGATACAGCATCACCTCTAACAAATCTTCAAAGGTAAGTGTTTGGGCTGAATTTTAAGATTGCAGTAATTAAAGCAGCAAACTGGCAAAGATGCAGATGTTGCAAACTTGCTGCTTCAAAGTCACAGCAGGAACGATGCACAACATTTCAAAGGGGAACAGCTAGTCAGGTTGCTTTTCACTCACCTCTCCAGACAGATTCTCATTCAGAAAGTGCTGCACTAGATCATTTACTACTCTTGCTTTGATTTCTTTATCAAACTGGTCTCCAATTTCAGCGAGCTGAGCAGCAATGATCCGGACAACTTCTTCATTTACCTCAGGGTCAAACACTGCCAACACATACCGCAGGAGTTAGGTCACAGGCTGTAGTCAGACCAGGTTTGGTGCAGGTAAGCTGATCCATAGCATTTTGTCCATCTCCATTAACAACCTCCTTCCCACCGTACCCCCAATCACCATGCGTTTATGACAGCTATATGCACTACAATTCTTTTGTGTGCACTCAACTCATCTATTACAGACAGTGTGCAAACAGGTGGTTTTTTATCTGTAGTTTACCTAAAGTGCAGCCTCACCCTGCCCAAAAAAACACTACAGGGGAGGTCAGAACATCTCCAACCAAAATTTGTACAGGACAGCTACAGCAAACACCCTACCAAGAGAGGGGAAGTGAGAGAGTGTGCATGATTTTTTTCAAGTGCCCACTGTTCAGAAATACAGTATCTCACAGAATCACAGAATAGTTTGGGTTGGAAGGGACTTTTAAAGGTCATCTGCAATGAGCAGGGACATCTTCACCTAGATCAGGTTGCTCAGAGCCCTGTCCAACCTGACTGTGAATGTTTCCAGGGATGGGGCATCTACCATCTCTCTGGACAACCTGTTCTAGTGTTTTGCCACCCTCATTGTAGAAAAATTTCTTCCTTATAGCTAGTCTGAATCTACTCTTCTTTAGTTTAAAACCATTAACCCTTGTCCTATCTCCTTTTGGCAAAGGTCCCCATTGTAATTTGGGGCATGAGACCTATGCAGGTTCATATAAGGGAGGGCTATTTACTGCAGCAGTTCCTCCTCACCCTGTGTAGGTCAAGGTCAACATGCCAGCTGACACATCCCGGGCAAGGGGCAATAGCCATCCTGCAGATGGCTAGTGAAGCAGGAACAGTACCAGAAACAGCTTCCACCACAGTGGCAGAGCAGAAAGGAATTCACTCAGTACCAGAACAAGAGTTGTTCCAAAATCCTAGCCCAAGTACAGATACTCCCTGAGCGGCAATGCAAGGCCTAACTTAACTGGTTAATATCACACTCCTTGAGGACAGCAATCATTAGTACCAGCTTTGTCACCCTTGTCTGATGTGCTGCAGACAAAACCCCTGGATGACAGCTGCTCTAGAAACCCATGGGGACAAAGCGCTCAGCACTAGCTGTCTTATCCCAAGTGTTAAAATCCCAACCAACACAACCACCAGCCACCACACTGTAAAGTTTCTCAATGCAGAAAACATTACTCCTCTGAAACAGACCAGCAGCAAAGATGGGAAAAGGGGAAAGAAAAACACCACCTTCAGAGAGGCATGTAGGAAGAAGAAAAGAGCACTCACCTAGCTCACCATTCTGCAAGTGGCCGCTCCGATTGCCATCAGTCTGAAGTTCCACCTCATCATCATAACAGTAGCGGGGGAAAAACACACCCCCCTGGCTTTGGAGGGACTGCAGTTGCTCTCTGAACTTGCAGTCAGAGGATACCTCCAGGAATGTGTACAGCAGTGCACGCTCCATCCGGACAGATCCATTGATCTTATAAGAAAAAAAAAAATCACTGTTAAGCCGATGTCTAGGAAAAGTCCCACTCAAAAGCTCTATGCATATGCTGTTTTTCAACCCTAAACACATTTTTCTGGCCTCCTTTGGGCATCCTGAATAGCATTAGCCAGGGAGTCCACAAGACTAACTCCTGGATGCGTACCCACACAGAACTGTCTGATGGCAAGTGATAGATGGCTCTGCTCTTACAAACCAGTCGTGGAAGAGTCAGCTCACCTTCTCCTCACACCTCCAGCTGTGGCACTGACAGAAACCTTGATCAGAGCTCCTCTTTTGAAACAGATGTGTGCTCAGCACAAACCACTCACTTCCTCTATTCAGACACCTGTGTCTGGAAGGTTTTTACCCCTGTATTAGGGAATTGGGCATTCTACTTCCTGTGCATAATGAAGCCAACAACTCCCTATTTAAATGTAATCAGAGCACAGCAGTAACAAGGTGGGAAACAGAGACAACAGATAGTATAAGCCTGAAAAAAAAAAGTTCACATTTCTTCTTCAAAGGGATCAGGACTAGGTCCATAATAAAGCTGTTCAGCTCCCTGTAGAGCGCCAAGCAGCTGCTCAGAAGAATAGTGATGGTGAGATGGCAGATCACGGGTGTCAGTATCACCTACACTGGCACATTCACCCCCAGTAAATAGACCCGTGCTGCCTCTGTGGCCACGTGCCCTGCTGCCTTCAAGCAGGGCGGCACAGAGTGCCCAGATTAGTTAGGCTGGGGAAGTCCACGAGGCAGGGAGAGTGAAATGAGCAAGAGGTCCCACTGGAACGTGGGGCCTCATAACCAACAAAGGCCTCTCTAGAAAACTAGAAGACACTCCAGTAATTTTAGTTAAGCAGCTAAGAGAGCAGGATGTCATGTAAGCACAGAAATAAAGTGAGAAAAAAAAAATCCTTACTCTTCTATGCAGACTGTCTGCCTATAAGAGAAGGAAATGCTTAGGCTTAATTGTAACTAGGGAGAAGAATCAAGGCTAAAGTAGAAAGGTTTGTCTTGCCAACTGCATTGGGAAATCAATATGCAACCAGGATGAAGCTGATAATTGAAATGGAGTTTCAGGTACCTTTTGGTGAGTGGAACCTTGCAAGGCCACCTAAATCTACACAGCCATATCAGTAATATCACACAGGATCCATATTGCCAAGGCAACAGTAGCAAATTTGGGACAAACGTATAAAAAGTAATTAAGGATGGGTTGTTTACTCAAGAGAAGACAGGGCAGAGAAAGGGAGGAACAAAGACAACAAAAAGGAGAATCCAGAAATGGAAACAAATAAAGAATAAGGTATGTGATCAGTCAAAGATCAACAGAAGGCACATCTTTCATGATCTGAGCATGGATGCAGTACAGACAGCAGTGAAGCTCATGTGGTGACCCAAGCTCACTGGGACACCAGTGGCGATCCCCTTGAACAACCCACTGGACTAGTCATCAGGTTTATATTCAAAAGGCTTGTGGGCAGAGCAAAGAGGTTTATAATTGTACCCTAACACTAGGTGGAGTGAGGAGGATGTTAGACATTTCAATAGCAGTTTAATCTAGTTAATAAGATTTAAGTGTGATGAATAGTAGCTTCATAATTGTGATTAATATTGCACAAAACAATGCAATAAATTGATCACAGTGGTGTGTCCATTAATTTTATTTTTATTAGTTTTATTAGGCTTTAGCTTAATCAATAAACAGGGTAGTCTCTTAAATAGCTACATCTCCAACCTGCAGCTTAACGGGCGAGCGTCACACTGAAGGTAACAAGGAAGCAGCTTGCAAACTAAGTGGTTCAATCTACTTTTCATCTGTATTCATGATGGAGAGGAGTAGTGTCGGGGCCCCGTAGGAAATCTGACGAAGATGAGGAAGACACAAGCCAGCACTTTTTGAGGCATCTTGGAACAAGTGCACAAGAGAACCACTGGTCACTGTGAAACACTGACTTCAGTCATGTTTGAAACTAACCTGTTCCATGACGGATTCAGAGACAGAGCAGCTCGTGGCACCCTCTGCTTCAGACCAGAAGTCCTTGCTCTGCAAAAGAATGAGAAATAAAAGGGTGAAATGAAAAAAAAAATTCCCATAAACCCACATATTGCAGCAGCACTCATAGGTCTGGCCATGTCTTGTAGAAAAGGACCTTTCTAGTGATGCATACCTGTATTTCTGGAGAGGAAAATCACAACTGTCCCAGCAAGAAGGACCCTATTCGCTTGAATGAGGGGCATGAAACTCCTTCCTGACAGACGCATGGAAGATAGTGGAGTAACATGACCTACAAATGGGGGTTTAAAGCCAAGAGGTGGAGCCAGGGGAGGGAGGAATGACCCTTCACAGTGCCAGAGGCTGAAATGGAAAGCAGTGTTATCCCAGAGGAGTTCCTGAGCACCTACTGAGCGCAGGTGAGCTGCTCGGGTCTGTGTGCACAGCAGCATATTCTGAAGTGAAACGCCCAGATGACATTGCAACACATCTGCAGGACTTCCGAGTGCACCACCGCCCCCACTCCCATGCAGAGATACATGTGTATACTCAGACTTATTTCAATACTTCCCAGACAAATATCTAGAAATGGGGAAGGTTGGATCAAGTGTCAAAGGCTTCTAGTTACATGAGCACAACTCTGCTAAGCCTCCAGGGAGGCCTACTAGGAAGAAGGGAGAAAACAGGACCCAGGTCACAAGCTCCTCTGCTCCCATGGTGTATGCTCAGGGCTGACAACCCTCGGCCTGTCTTGTGGCTGGGCAGCGCTCAAGGGGAGAGGCATGCAAGGAGGGCACAGAGCATGACACAGAGGGTGGCCTCCCTCACCCACCAAAAAGGGGAGCTGCCCAAGCAGTCAGACCAGCAGCCCAAGCAGTCACAGCTGGTACAGGAAGTCCCAGAGCAAGAAAGGTGCGAGAGCAGCACAGCAAGCACCAGTAACACAAAACTATCTAGCAAACATCAAGGGAAGATAAGGCAGGGAAGATAAGAATCCTGCTTGTGAATTTTGCATTTGCTGCCTTAGATGCAACAGTCCTACAACTGCACACAGAAGTCTCTGATGCAAGCTGGCTTCAAGGGCAGGGCCTGGCTGAAAGTGGGCACTACCTTCCCACCAGGCCACCTTCACTGAGGGCAATAACCTGGCTGCTGCACAGGTACCTTCTGACCAAAAATGGGGCAAAAGCACCAAGGAGCTCAAACAGATGGTCTGCTAACCATCAAATACCTGGTAACATAGTACCTGTTTGTACTAACAACCCCTCACAACTGTGTTTTAAACAGCTAAGTACGCTCATGGAAAAGAGGAAGCAGAAATGAATTCAAACTCTGAAGGAAACCACAGTAATAATTTCAAGACACCATGAATTTCCCAACTTTTCAAAGGCTCTTAGAAGTCCCCAAGACCAAAACACAGTCTCAAGTACGTCTAAAACACAAGATAGCCCACAGGCAGCCTCTTAACCATGACCTCTTCTTTTCATTTAGTTGTTACATCACACTAATAGCTTCCTAAAACACGGGCTTAGAGAAAAATGCAAAGCAGCAAAGGCTGTTCCATTCAAATCCCTGTTGCTGCTACTCACCTCTACCCTAAAGAATGCCCTGGCTGGGGACAGTACAGTCCTCTTCTCTGGGACCTGACAAGGCTCTGAAACCAGTCAGGGTGACCCTTCTGGGCTTGACCTCGCTGGAGGAGCGACAGATGTTAATTCAGGTTGGACAACTTGAGACAGAATCCCCAAGATGAAGAGGAAAGGGGGGATTTAGCATTGAGTCTGTGGCAGGACCTTAGCTTTGCACAAACTGCTCAGGAATTGTCCACATCAGCAACATTTCTGTAGGCTAGGCAAAGCCTCAACTTGCACATATTTTGGTTTTATATATAACATTTCTTTTCAAATCAAAGTAATTCAGCCCAAAAGCAAGGTTTTCATGTTACAGCTAGTAAACAGTGGATAGCCTCTGATATTAACTCCTGCTGAGTTAAACACCACTTCCTGAACCATCATGGCTTAGACCACGGGAAGCCTAAAGTAGTATTGAGCCTCTGCTACCCACATCCCATTTGCCTTGAAACCCACATTCATCACAGCCCTTCTTGGGCTCCACCAGTATTGCCACCCCCACTCATCTCTAGCCCATGCCAAAAGCTTCACGGGGGACCACAGCATCACTCTACAGCTGATCAGATTAACCCACACTGGCTAATCTGGGCTAGCAATAGCCAGCTGACTTCGTAACATGAGTACAAGCTGAACAAATCTCCCAATCTTTCAAGGTGCAAGAAGTCACACCACCCTCTGTTCACACCACACTACATACACAGAGGGACAGATGTTCTCCCACAGTTCAAGCAGAAGTGTGATGCAACACAAGCCGCTACAGCTGCGAGTTGCACAGAAGTGGCCAGATGTGCTGGTGAAACTAGCTGAGTAGCACCAAAGACATTTCTCACTGGCCAAAACTTTACAGCGAAACCTCTTCCACCCAAACCTATCCAAACTGTGCTAGGATGACCTGCTTTTTCCCACTGACGAGAATTCCAGTAAATTGCTGGAGGGCAAGCTGAACAGTCAGGTGGCAATAAACAAAGTAAAACATCAGCCTGCAGAGGGACCAATGTAATCTTTCTTACAGCAAGAGGATGGAACAGAAATAGAAGTCAAGACATTTCCTTGGGGGGGGGGGGGGGGGGGAGCCACATCTTTCCAAGGAAAGCTCAGAGTGTGGCTTTGAAACCCAGACTCCCTACATTTTTTGGTCACGCTGTTTCATAGTGCCAGAAAACTCATTTGGTTCAGTCTAAACACTCATGCAAGAGGCAACCAAAAAGAAACACACTATTGTTTTTTCCCCACTCCCTGCTTTAAAAGAAGCACTCCATCGCAGGAAGGAAAAGAGGCACACTGCTCTATTCCCAAAGCAGAAAACACAAGTCAAACAAAAAGATCCAGATCTATTCTGGGCATGCCCATAAAGCTAGGCCCAGAATGGCAGGGCATAGCAGCTCTGCACAAGGCTGTGCAAGTGCATCATCCACACCAGCTTTCTATGTTGACTAGAAGTTGTAAGAGGAGCTTGAGCCTGTCTGCCTGTGCATGTTCCTCACATCAGTTCCCGGAAACGTGCAGGCAAGGTGTCTGGCTATAGCTCTACAGACCCAAATAATGTGTTTTGAAAGCTCTTATACTTTTCCAAAAGAGGCAGAAGCTTATACTCTGGTTATGGCAGAAAGGTCCTCCCTGGGTGCCCCACACAGGCAAAACACCTGGACAAGAGCCTCAACGTCGACAGAAAGGAGCTGAGCAGCCCCTGCCCTGCCAGGGTACCTGCTGCACCCAGAGGTGTTAGTGTGCAGGGGGAAGAGACCTACAATGCATAGGGGTTCTTCCCTTCCCCTCAGGGAATCATCTCATCTCTATGTAAAGTTAGACACTCGTCAGGGCACGTCCACAGAAATAGAGACATTAAAAAATAAAAATCACCCATCACAGTTGCAAATTGCAAGTTTGTCCACTCCTGCACACAAGCAGAGATAAGAACTGTTAGAAAGACAAAAAAAAGGAAAAACCCTGCTGCACTCCAAAGTACTTACATGGTAAAAAATTAAGACAAGGAGGCTTGAAGATGATAATTTCACAAACTCTTCCCTGAATCAAAGAATCACCACCCTGGCAGTGAAAGTCCCTGAGGGGTTCCAACCCTCAGCTAATAAAATTCTGCTTGGGTGGTCAAAAAACACACCTGAGAACAGGAAAAAGGATTTCTTTCACACCACAAAATGGTTCCCTACTACTACAATACAGGGCCATTTATTTTAGTTAACTAGTAATTCCAGAAACCTCAAGATTTAGATAATTACTTGGAATCATTGCAAGGGGTTTGGATAGTCACAGAGTTCCTCCTGAGAAGTCAAATTCATTAATGGAATTTCAAAGAAAAAATGGACCCCTAAAGAGCAAACCCCAAAGAATCAAATGTAATTATGCTGATGCCACCTGAAGGTTTTAATCATTAAGACTTTGGAATCCTGGTAGTTTTAGATTCAGATTAAGACATCTGGTGGATTGAAAAAGTTACCTTATACAGGGTGAAAAGAATCTTTAGTTGGAGAATGAGTAAAGATGGAGATAAAGGCTACAAACAGCATCTGCATTCAGAGTGAAACTAGATAATTTACTAAAGCTGCTAGGGCTGCTGAAAGTCTTGGAAAAATATATGGAGTATGATTTTTTTTTAAATTTAAATACCAGTTAGTTTTAATACGTTATTCCTTTTCACACTTTCAATTCACCGATCAGACAAGTGAGCTTCATGTGTTAACAACTGCCCCTGAGAAACCACTAGATGCCTTGAAGTATTCAACAAAGACTACAACCAGGGTTTTTGATCAGTTCTTTCCATTTTTCCAAGGGAAAAAAAAATGGAGGGAGTATTTTAAACACAAGTTTAGGACCCTTAAATCAGCTCTGAAGAGTCAGTGTGGGGCATGTCCATTCTAACTCAACACTGTGTTCGGATGCAGGGCTCAGGCATATGTTTAGTATACATAATTAGTCAGAGGAGCACATCCACCAGTCGCTTGTCACTGTGAAACTACAAGAATTTATTCTACCCCCATACTCACCAGTTTTCACAGGAGAGAATGATGTGGATGCTTCCCCCAAACCAAGTCTCCAAGGCTTCCCTCAAGGCAATCACAACTCTTTAGACGGGGCCGAGTACGTCCTGAGGGATAGCACCTACTGCTCTCCTCCAGCAACACAGGTCCTTCAGGTCTGGTGTCCATTCTTCTGTTTCTCCCTCTCATCCCCAAGTTGTATTAGTCTTTAAATATTACAACGAACTCACCAGAGCAGCTGTTCTCAGCTGTGGCCCACCGATGAGGGGTGGCACCACTATAGTCAACAGCAGGCAGGGCCAGAATCCCCTCTCTGACTCTGGGCTTTAAGGAGAGACGGCACTGTAAGTTTGCAGGGTGGGAA